GAGACAGAGACAGAGAGACAGAGAGACAGAGACAGAGAGACAGAGAGACAGAGAGACAGAGAGACAGACAGACAGAGGGAGTAAAAGTGCATTTCTGTCTTTCATAAATTTCATCCTATGGGAATAAAAGTTCATCGTTCCTTTTGCTTGACTCTGTAAGGTTTAGTAACGTCGAGTATATCTCTAAAACCGCTAAAAGTTTCCACTATTGTCTTCCAGGCTTCAGTGATATTATATCTCAAGTTCCTCCTACTCGACTTGACAAAACTGGTGGTAATCCACATGAAATCCACATGAAATCCACCGCTCACTTATTACAAACTTCAGGGAAATTCTTCCAGCTCAAACAGACACATTGACATGTGATAGGAAGGACGTCGTCTATAACAGTAGCAGGTAGCAAGAGCAATAACAGTGTTTAGAATTAAAAAGCTGTCCTGAAATTACTTACAAAATATTTTGAAATCGGAATTTTAAAAAATATGAAACAGAAATCCTTCTGAAAAGCTTTGACGGTGAACTCTAAGTGAAGGTTTCGGAATATCATTCAGATCTTGGCTTATGCACAATCACAAAGAGAAATCTTGATATTTTAAAATCCATTCTCGAAAAAAAAAAAGCATTACAATGTTATGCATAAAAAAACGAGCATAGTAAAGGGGTGATATTATGATTAGATTCCATATTGTTCGATAAATGCAATGCGAGTTTGAGTATGGGTGAAAGAGAAGCACACTGCAAGAGAACGGGCATTTAGTGTTTGGAAAGGGAATGACACACACAGAGAGGAACGATAGAGAGACAGTAAAGACGTACAGCCTGTCACTGGCACCACCCAGTCACAAATAATGATGGAAGAAACAAACACACAGTGTAACTACAAACGCTGTTATTTTCAACTTTGCCGGGGTAAAGGTAAACACGTTAAATTCAAACTTCTAACGTAGAATATTAATTCCTCATAATTTATTTGCTGTTGTCTTAAACTTTATTAGTCTTTGATAGATATATGATTTCAAACCCATTAATTAAAAAAGAGAAAAAAGAGAAATGAAACAAAGACTCTAACAAGTAACAGATATCCATACTTGGAATCCCCCTCCCAGTGTGTGGTGAAAAGCGAAGAAGCCTCCGACAGCTGTAAAGCAAACAACGACAGCTAGGTGTGTGTGTGGGCAGTGGCGACCCTCTGCGCGACTCACTCTTACACTTACAGGGGAAAAATAATCTGTAAGACAGCTACAGAAGATTAACGGTTATATAACAGCCTCATCACAAGAACTTCGGGTAGAGCAACATCATTTATTTTTGATGGTGTTCTCAGATTAGTTTGCCATGAAAGTCTGCAATGAAACCAAAAGTATCTACAAAGGTATCTGGGACATCTCCAGCAAATACTGGGGGTATTCTTCCTGGGTATTCTCACTTGGTAAGGACAATGTTTATTGTGGAGACTATAGCACAACGAGGTCAACTGATACTTTGACCATACTATATAATAACAATATGTCGTTGTCAATGGAAATTTTACTGACATGAGAGGGAAATTATTTAAAAAATTTTTTTTTTAATTTTCAGATCTCAACAGCTTCACGCTGCAACTTACTCGGGGGTACCCACCCAGCAAAGGCGTTTGTTTGTGTGGGCTTTAGGTTTTCTCATTTCAAGATATTGTTCCCGATCAGTTATTGGACAATTGTAAGTTTTTATGACACCTCCCCCCCCCCCCTCGCGCCACTTTTCGACACAGCTTCGGCAATGTAGGAGTCGTGTTCAAACTGTTCAGACATACAAGGTCACCAAACTACGAAGCTACACACAGTAAAAAGAGAAGTAGCTAGCAGTCCAGGCGTCCAGAAGACATGACCAAATCATCATTTATAAAAAAAATAATACATTTTTTTCAGCTAAAAGTGAAAACTTAAGAAAAGTATGAAGAAACGTAAGAACTACACCACGTGACAGACACCTCGGCATGCTGTGATGTGTCCACTAGAGCCGTAAAATATCCACACGTTACAAGTGACAATATCAGTATCTGCGCTAGGAGCTAGAACATGATGGAATGTGAGCAATAACCTGCCCGACACTCTGCATGCACTTGGAACATGAGTAAACAGAACGGGGACGTATGGAGGATAGATAAATATTGGGCAACTTCACGCGTCTATAGTAAGACTTAGTTTGGTTGAGTAAACTGAAGGAGGAGTCTACTTTACAGCATGGTACCAACCACACGACACACCTGCACAGAGTGTCAACACAATACAAGTACGTTAGCAGGCTGGTGGGCTTGACCACTGGGCAGTGAGGTGACCACAGCGGGAAGAAAACCAGCGAAACAAGCACTATAATATGACGTCACTATGGCACGAAACTGGCACAACATTGGCACAACATTGGCACAACATTGGCACAACATTGGCACAACATTGGCACACAGTTGGCACATAATTGGCACACAGTTGGCACAACATTGGCAA